ATATACTATGTAGGAGAAATTTGGGGTATGACAAATACAACATGCTTTCAGTAGTACGGATAGTCCAAAGCTTTATCACCAACTCTGAATGGTACCAGAAGCTGATATACAAGTACTAAGTGTAGAAACTCGTCTGAATGCTAAAGCCTTCAGTTCAGAGTCTTCGTCAAACCACAATAGAAATTGTTCTTCAGACTCTGCCAAAAGAAGCTAGCAATGAAGCAACTCCAAGTGTATCTTAAGTAAAACAGATTCTGACTATTTATGTATAAGAACAAGAACCTCCATAAATAAAACACACATCAAATAAACCATTGTTCTTTTAATACTTTTGTTATCATCAAAACTAAAAGAGAATATGTCAAAAATAAATCTTGTTCTAAAATTCAATGTTGGACCATTGAATCCCTACTTCTTCTGAAAAAAGTGATTTATTTAAAAATTTTAAATTGACAATTACTACATCATAAATTTCGTAATTTTTTTATGGCTAAAGAGTGACGTTTTTTTTTTAAATTTTGAATAAATCATTTCCAAAAATATTTAGTCAAAGAGTGACGTCACATTGATTTCTAAATATATTTAATTTTAAAATTTTAAATTCATTTTTAGTAAATATTATGAATTAAAAAAAACTTTTCAAAGTATATTTATTTATTAATTTTTGGAATTTAGATCAAATTTTGGTCAAATTTATTAATTATAAGAAATACTTACCAAAATGCATTTATTAATTTTGAAATTTTAGATTCGTTTTTAGTCAATCACATTAATTTGATCTTGCTAACGTTTTTGGAGGAAGATAGTCATTTGGAGTGGGTTTTGGGCTTATACTATCAGCCTACACGGTTTGCTTTGCATAAAAAAATTGTGTCATGCTATTCTTTTTTAAGATACTTATGGGCTTTCTAATTGTAAGCTCGAATGTTTTTACTACTTTGTTTTTTTTCTTTCTCTATTTTACATTATTTTTAGAATTAAGTTTTTTTTCGTAATTTTTTTAGAATTCGATATTATTTTTGTTCAATATGGTGAAATGTGAACCTTGGTCTATTTTTTTAGGTATGGATTATGTCTTAATTAAATGTTAGCATTAATTCTTGATTAAATTCTTAGTGTTGAATGGATTTGGTTTTGATGTCAATCGATTTTGAATTGGAATATGATCCTGGTTTTTTTTTCTTGGCTAAGTTCTTATGAATATTCTTATTAATCTTTTCCTTGATCTCGGTACACATAATTGAGGACTGGCTTTAATGCTTGGTATTGTTGGTTGTTTGCTTCTAAATTGTTACACTCCCTTAGGATGTTGATTCAACCTTATCTTCGATAAATTAAATTGGTATAAACTTTAGATTTTGAAATATTGCTTGATAATTTCTATAATAACTCCCCTTTTAATCTCAAAATTATGTCATAAAATTAGGTTAGTCCCTTAGGACATTAACTTAGACAACTTACCAGTTAAATTCTCATTCTCCCACAAGAGAATTAGACATGAGTCATCTATGTAGATGAGATATAATTCTCCTACCCCATAACATAATTGAGAAAGATGTAGAATCTTTTCCGCTTGAGAGAGGTATGTGGCATGCTTGTCGATTATAAAGCCGAGTTAGAGCCCTTCTCCCAATGTGAAGCAAAGACCGTCTTCCGCTTGTTTGTGGTGGTTTTAAGTCGAGTATTCTCCCTAAGATGACGACTCGTCTCTTCTCCTAAAATCAATCAACAACTTCTCTCTTGAAACCTTGGCCACAGTTAAGAGTTCCTCATCCCTTTAGGGGAACTATGAATGCTCTGATTCCATTTCCGTTAGGATACGTAGGCACAAGATGCGACTTCTTGGCGAGCATACTTAGGAATAACACCTTAGGTCTCCTTTTTCCTTTTCACCCTTAGCAAACAAAATAACAAATAACATAATAAAGCAAGATGTTCATGTAGAGTTTTACAAATACTTAGGATGCTAACACTTTCCTTAGGTATAACCAACTCCTGAACCTTAGATTTTCTTTTTCTTTGCTTTGCATCGCATATTTTGGGTTATTCGTTCTTTTTCCCTTCCCTTGGACAAATTAAAGATCGGTGGTTAATAACGATTTGCAATTCAAGTTAATCAATAGCTTGATATTCAATTCTCACCGCGACATATAGCTAGCAATGAAGCAACTCCAAGTGTATCTTAAGTAAAACAGATTCTGATTATTTATGTACAATAACAAGAACCTGCATAAATAAAACACACTTCAAATAAATCATTGTTCTTTTAATACTTTTGTTATCATCAAAACTAAAAGAGAATATGTCAAAAACAAATATTGTTCTAAAAGTCAATGTTGGACCATTGAATCCCTACTTCTTCTGAAAAAAATGATTTATTTAAAATTTTAAATTGACAATTACTACATCATAAATTTCGTAATTTTTTTATGGCTAAAGAGTGACGTTTTTTTATTTAAATTTTGAATAAATTATTTCCAAAAATATTTAGTCAAAGAGTAACGTCACATTGATTTCTAAATATCTTTAATTTTAAAATTTTTAATTCATTTTTAGTAAATATTATGAATTAAAAAAAAACTTTTCAAAGTATATTTATTTATTAATTTTCAGAATTTAGATCAAATTTTGGTCAAATTTATTAATTATAAGAAATACTTACCAAAATGCATTTATTAATTTTGAAATTTTAGATTCGTTTTTAGTCAATCACATTAATTTAAAAAGTAATTTAAAATCAAAAAGTTATTAATCATACTAAACATAATAAAAATGTTATGCACAAAAAAAATTATAACTCCTACTAACCTTAAATTCAGGGGTATCTCGAGACTGCACAAAATCCTTTCATACTTCTTCTTTAATATAATTATACCTGATATATGGAGGAGTTAGACCTTCTTTGGGGTGTCTAATATATTCGCTTGTGAGTTGTATCTTAAAAGCTCTCCATCTCTCTCTTGCATATTTAATCCATTCTTTCTTCAACGAATCCTTCTTTGGATCATGAGGTTCTGGAATAGTGAAATGAGCCTACACATATAGTATACGGCATATGTTATGAGTATATGATTATAAAATATAATAAAGTGTAGTAGTAAAACATACCTGAACATCAGTCCAAATAGCCTCTTTTATGCCTTCATTTATGTCTTTCCACTCATTTTTCAAAATACTACATCTCTGTCGAGCAAGAGACGTTATGTAACTCCTAAAATTTGAAGCATTTTTACCCATACATCCCTTAGTCATTGGATGAAACTCGACCTTTATCTTTTCACCCGTTTGATGAACTTTGTTAATTTGTGTCATCAAAGTGGGACCTCTAACTCTTCTTTTTTTAGGGTCACTAGATGAAGAAGGGTTGTCGGTTGAATCAGCCATGTATCTGTTAACACAAAATAAAAACAATTAGAAATTAAATTAAGCACAAAATATAAACAATTAGACATCAAATTAAGCACAAAATATAAATAATTAGACATCAAATTAAGCATAAAAAAATATAAAAAAAAAATAGAAATTAAAGTATAAAATAACCTTACTAGTCCTCCCATATGCCTTCTTCATGATCTATGCAAATAGCGTGCACATCATCCTCTTCGTTTTCTTCAATGAAGGTAGGCACATTCATTGAGAAATGAGGAGTTTCAGAAATATCAATGTTTGCATCTTGGTTTTCATCACTATCATGCACCTTTCCTTGTATAACCACTGACCATCTTTTATTAGGAGGATCTGTGATATAAAACACTTGTTTTGCTTGAGACACCATGATGAAAGGTTCGTCCACATAAGCTAGCTTGCTAAGATCAACCGATGTAACTCTGAATTCATCGATTCTTAAAGCACTGTTGATATCTATCCATTTGCATTTAAATACAGGAACTTTAAACACAACATAATCAACTTCCCAAATCTCTACAATCACCCCAAAGTAGAGTGTAAATGCCATAACTGGGTTTTTATCTTTAGCACTAGAGAAGTGCATGGACTCGGCCACAATCATAACCTCACTATTTTGTGTGGTACTATAATCATCCTTTGACTTTGTACAAAAAGCAAGTTTTATTAATATCATATCCACTCCAAGTTATTATGTTACATTTAGGCTCATTGGACAACCACTTAATTGTATTGGAAGCACTATCCTCATTAGAAATTTTTTCTTTAAACCACTTAGAGAAACTCTTATTATGCTCTTTAACAACCATCTTTCATTCATCTTGGGGTGCTTTTTCTTTATGATGCTTTTGTGAGCAGATAAGTAAGGTTGAACTTCATCCGTGTTTTTCAATATATACAAATGCGCTCGAAGAACCACATCAATACTTAAGCTCTTGACCTTTAAACATTGTGTACCCACACCCTCACATCTTCCATCATGACGAGACTTGGGAACCCCTACAACATCCACTTCTGACAAATAGTTCGAACAAAACTCAATTGCTTCTTCTGCGATGTACCTCTCAACAATTGATGCTTCTGGACGGTGTGGGTTTTTTGTATACCCTTTTAGGATCTTCATGTATCGCTCTGTTGGATACATCCACCGTAAATAAATTGGACCACATAATCTAATCTCCCTTACTAGATGAACAATCAAGTGAATCATAATGTCAAAAAATGAAGGAGGAAAATACATCTCTAATTGGCATAAGATAACTACAGCCACATTTTCCAAATTTTCTAGCTTTAATTGATCAATGGCTTTACAAAAAATTGCATTGAAAAATAAGTACAACCTAGTTATAGTCTTCCTAACATTGTTAGGCAATATCCCACGAATAGTCACTGGTAGTAGCTGTTGCATTAAGACATGACAGTCATGAGATTTTAATCCAATTAATTTGAGATCTTTACCTGAGACAAGCCTACTGACATTTGATGAGTAGCCATGCAGCACTTTAATACTTTGTAAAACACTCACAGAAACTTATTTTCTCTTTTTTAGACAGAGTGTAGCAGGCAGGGGGCAAATATATCTTGTTACCTATATGTTATGTAGTTAACTCTTCTCGTATACCCATCAAACTCAAATCCAGACAAGCATTATAACCATCTTTTTTCTTGCCTTGAATGTTAAGAAGTGTTCCGATTAAACTATCACATATATTTTTCTCCACGTGCATCATATCAATACAATGTCTTACATCAAGACTAGACCAATATGGAAGATTGAAGAAAATCGACCTCTTTTTCCATATATTTTTCACAGTAGATTGCTTTTGATATTTTCCGAAGACGACATTAATGCCTTGTTGTCGTTGATAAACTTCCTCTCCAGTTAAGGGCTTTGGAGCAACACCATGCTCTTGTTCCCCATTGAAAGCTTTCCGCAATCTACGATATGGATGATAACGATCTAGAAATTTTCGATGCCCGAGATAAACAGTCTTCTTTTCTTTTACAAGTTGATGGTAACGTGTGTCTTTTTCACATATAGGACATGCTCTATGCCCTTTAACTTTATAACCAGACAAATTGCCATATGCCGGAAAATCGTTGATGGTGCAAAACAACATGGCGCGCATATTGAACTGTTCACCAGAATACACATCAAAAACATCCACCCCTTCCTCCCACAACACTTTTAAAGCATCAATCAGAGGACTTAGATAAACATCTATGTCATTTCCGGGTTGTTTTGGGCCCGAAATCATCATCGATAACATAATATATTTACGCTTCATGCACAACCTAGGAGATAGGTTGTAGATCATCAGGAGAACAGGCCAACAAGTATGGTTAGTACTTAGATTACCAAACGGATTCATTCCATCAGTTGAAAGTCCAAGTCTAAGGTTTCTCGACTCTTTGCCAAATTTTGGAAATAAAACATCTATTTTCTTCCATTGTAAAGAATCAGCTACATGGCGAATTTTTCCATCACACTTTCTTTCTTCTGCATGCCATCTAAGATTCTTTGCGTCATTTGCATTAGTGAATAGTCTCTTGAACCTTGAAATTATTGGTAGGTACCATACCACTTTCGAGGGACGAACCTTTTTTACCGCCTCATCATCACTAGAATCACCAGCTTTCTTTTTGTAGCGTGATGCCTTGCACTTCAGACAATGATTATAGTTTACATACTCTTTTCTGTATAGTATGCAATCATTAGGGCATGCATGTATCTTTTCATACTCCAAACCCATCGGACACAATATCTTTTTTGCCTCGTAATAACGATTTGGCATTACGTTACCTTCTGGAAGCATCTGTGTTAACAATTCAAGCAATTCGGTAAAACTTTTGTCAGTCCACCCATTATTTGCCTTCAAATTAAACAATTTTAATACGGATGACAAACGTGTAAAATTTGTGCATCCTGGATACAAAGGTTTATCCTTGTCACTGCATAAAGTATCATACACATGCGCCTTCTTAAACGAATCTTGTCCAATATCACGCATCATGTCTTCCAGACGATCATCCATTTCTGCACTAACATTATCTCTTTGGGACACATTTGACTTTGCTACTACCTCACCGTGCCATATCCATTGTGTACAACTTTGACAAATTCCATGACAAATTAGATGATCCATGATTTCTTTCTTATTGAGTTTTGGTTCGTGATTTGCACAACGAACACATGGACAGAGAAAAAGCAGATGAAGACTTTTTTCAGCATCACTCTTAGGAGGAGCAAGATTTTTTTTAGCATTACTTTCAGCAAGCTCTAGAAATTCCATCACTCCTTGTTCGTACTCGAAACTTAATCGATTGGCTGTCATCCAACTACGATTCATACCTATGTTCCGAAATTATTAATGCATACAAAGTTAAATCATTGGAACGCCTATAATAATCCCTCTTTTGGACATTAGAGAGAACAAAAAGTATCTACGTGTAAACATGTGGCATAAAAGAAGATTTAAGAAGTTATAAAGAATGAAAACAGAACCTGCAATTACGTGGCGGCCGGATGACTCGCGGTTAAGAGAAAAAGAGGGACACAAATCCTGCGAGAAACGAAAAATCAATTTTTATTCCATGAGACACCACTAATTACTCCCAACTTTTACATAAATTACTACTGGTAAATAATTCCATGAGACACTTCTTTTATTTGCAATTATATAGACTAAATTATTTTTTAAAAAATTAAATACTAAAATACTTATATATATATATATATATATATATATATATATATATATATATATATATATATATATATATATATATATATATATATATATATATATATATATATATATATATATATATATATATATATATTAATATCATATTATTGATAAGCATACAAAATATGTTTAAGCAGCTATATAACATCATCACTTAACAGATGTGACATTTTATTTATTAATATCATATTGTTGTTTATAATCAATATTTTTCTTAGTTAATTTAGTATAAATTTTAATTTATATTGTTTAATATATATATATATATATATATATATATATATATATATATATATATATATATATATATATATATATATATATATATATATATATATATATATATATATATATATATATATATATATATATATATATATATATATATATATATATATATATATATATATATATATATATATATATATATATATATATATATATATATATATATATATATATATATTTAATAACCTTTTCATTATTATTTATTTCTCTAAATTTTTGATTGATAATATTTTCTAACATATTAATTTTTTAATTTTATAAATTCCATGAGTTACTTTTCAAGTGTTGATTTTCTTAATTATAATTTTGTTTGCTAATTATTTATTATCTCTTAATTTTATTTATGGGTCACTTCTATTCAGTAGTTGAGAACAAAACTTTTTTCTAATTTTTAACTGATGTGAAGATGGTACTAGTCTGAGAAATCAACCTCATATATTCTATAAAGTCCAGTGATTAATCCCAAAAATGCTAGAGGAGGTTTGAAAGTTGAATGTACTATGGCCAAAATCTTGTCTGATATAATTTTGGGTATGTCTATTTCTTGTTTGGTCAAGATATACTAGATATGTTCCTGCACAAAATCAGAGATTTTTTTGGGTCTTCTAATTGAACTTCTCTTAATAAGGAATTTTCTACTTGTAAATTTCTCTTAGAACTCTTTATGATAATGGATCTTGAATCTATTGCGATCATAGAGTATATATTAAGATTCTGATCATGATTTTCTCTTTCTACCAATGGTTTTGTGATTTTCTATCAGATCCATCTCTGTATAAAACTAGAATTAAACAAAATTAAAAAACTTTTGATTTAATTGATTCTTTAACTATTAGTAACTTTCAAGCGTTAGGTGGAGTAGTATATGTTTTACTATAATATACGATGAAAAACTTTAAATTAAATTATATATACTTTATTTTTGACTGAATAATTTTAATACTTTTTTTACTGAATACTTTTAATACTATTCATTGTTCTAAAGAAAAACTTAAAAGAAGAAACAGTTTTTTCTCACTGCCATTGTGTTTTTACATGGAATCTTAACTCTGCTAGTGCCAACATCGATGTTGTTGGCAATTTTCGATTCCTTAAAGTTCACATCTACCCTTATATTTTCTCTTTCTACCAATGGTTTTGTGATTTTCTATCAGATCCATCTCAGGCGACAACAACAACAGAATCAACCATTTCAACAATTTAATCTTGAACTAACCCTAACCTTTAACGGATATAAGAATAAAAAATGAAAGAACATAGACAGAAATGAATAAAAATGAAGGAGTATTGAACCTGATAATAATGTCGGATTCAGAACTGTGTTAGCGTGGTGGTATGTCATTATCGGAAGCAGAACGGCGAATGGCGGAGAGAGAGAACTGCGGATGGCGGAGGGAGAGAGAGAAATGCGAACAGCGAAGGGAGAGAGAGAACTGCGAACAACGGAGGGAAAGAGAACAGCGAACGGCGAACGGCGGACGGAGGTAGGGAGAATGGCGAACGAAGGAGGGAGAGAGAACAACAGAAACGGTTCGTCGTGGGTTTATTAGAAATGAGCTGATTTTGGTGAAGAAACAGTATTTGAGATTTTGGATTTTAAATGTTAAGAACTATTTAAATCGGTGGAATGGAAAACCGATTTAAAATCCAATTCGCTATTAACTTTTTAGATCCGTGGAGCTTAAACCCGATTTAAAAACCAAATTATTAATTTTTTAATTATTACTTTTTAGATCGATGAATTAATTAACCGATTTAAAAACAAAATTATTATTTTTTTAATTATTACTTTTTAGATCGGTGAATTAATTAACCGATTTAAAAACCAAATTATTAATTTTTTAATTATTACTTTTTAGATCGGTTGTAAACCGATTTAAAAACCAAATTATTAATTTTTTAATTATTACTTTTTAGATCGGTGGATATGAAAACCGATTTGAAATCCCATTTTTAAATTTTTTTTAATATTTTTTTTTTAAATCGGTGGGTTCTTTACCCGATGTAAAAACCCTTTCACTATTTTTTTCAATTTTTTTACATCGGTTAATTAATTGGCCCGATGTAAAAAATCTAGTAAATTTTTTTTATTATTTACGATACTGCCACCGTGTTTATATTTTTAGATTTTAAATCGGTTCGAGTGAATACCAGATGTAAAATCTTTTTCCCAAATGTCTTTTTTTCTAGTAGTGAGACATGGGCCAAAGAAGTTTTTACATCGGTTGGCCACTAAAACTGATGTAAAATCCACGTTTTTTATTTTTTCTTTTGGGGACTTTTTAAATCGGTTGGTAACGTACCCGATTTAAAAACCCTTTTAAATTACTTTTTAAATCGGTGGATAAGCCAACCGATGTAAAAGCCAAGTTTTTTGTTTTTTTTCTTTTGGGGACTTTTTAAATCGGTTGGTCACTATAACCCGATTTAAAAACCCTTTAAATTCTTTTTTTTAATATTTTTAATATTGTTTTTTAAATCGGTTGCTAATATAACCCGATTTAAAAAACCTTTAAATAATTTTTTTAAAATTTTTACATCGGTTATTTTAATGGCCCGATGTAAAAGATCTAATAATTTTTTTTTAAAATATTTACGATTCTGCCACCGTGTTTATAATTTCACATTTTACAACGCTTATAGTGAATACCCGATGTAAAAACATTTTCTCAAAAGTCTTTTTTCTAGTAGTGGCGACATCTAACTAGCAATGAAGCAACTCCAAGTGTATCTTAAGTAAATTAGATTCTGATTATTTATGTACAAGAACAAGAACCTGCATAAATAAAACACACGTCAAATGAATCATTGTTCTTTTAATACTTTTGTTATCATCAAAACTAAAAGAGAATATATCAAAAACAAATCTTGTTCTAAAAGTCAATGCTGGACCATTGAATCCCTACTTCTTCGGAAAAAAGTGATTTATTTAAAATTTTAAATTGACAATTACTACATCATAAATTTCGTAATTTTTTTTATGGCTAAAGAGTGGCGTTTTTTTTTTTTAAATTTTGAATAAATCATTTCCAAAAATATTTAGTCAAAGAGTGACGTCACATTGATTTCTAAATATATTTAATTTTAAAATTTTAAATTCATTTTTAATAAATATTATGAATTAAAAAAAATTCAAAGTATATTCATTTTTTAAATTTCAAAGAATTTAAAAAAACATAAACCACTACAAGAAAATTTTGATTTTGCCTAGTAATTTAGTGACATGATAAACACGTGAGGAAAAAAATTGGTTGCGACGTGTAAACCACGTCACTACCATAAACCTAAAATCTGCAACGAAAAGTTTGAATTTTAAGAGGCAGGGAAATTTGAATTTTTCAAAAATTAAGTTGTGGCGTGTTAAACACATGGGAACAAAAATTTCAAAAAAGTCTTTGTATTTGCGACGTGGAGAACATGTCACAAACTATCCACATGGGATACACGTCGCAAGTTTATAAATAATAAAGGTGGTCAGCTTTTACTTTTACGTTTCAGACACATTAATGATGAAATTGATTGTGACAGAGTTCCCATGTGAATCTCACGTCGCAAATGGGACACATAAATGTTTTAAACTTTATTTTTTATCGTTGTTTTGTCCTTTAATAATGCAACGTTAATATATTAAATGCTGGAAAAGTTCTGACGTGTATCTCACGTGGCAACTTTTTTAAGGGGCATTCACGTCGTACATGAGCAAGCCTTTAATGGGTTCCGACGTGGTTTTCACATGGGTACGTGGGATGGGTACGTTTCCACGTGTCTACCACGTCGCAAGTGTGGCTATATATTAAAAACCCTGAATTTTTTTCACGCATCCTTATTTCTTCTTCCTTTTCCTTCTTTCTTTCCTGTCCTCCTTCTCCTTCTTCTCTTTCTTCCTGTTACTCCTCCATTTTTGAACGAAAGCTACACAAAAAATTTGAGGTAAATGATATTTTTCTTGTTTTTGTTTTTGTTTTACAGTTTATTTTAATTTTTTTCTTATTATAAATTATTGATTTTTTTTCCGGATCTAAGATTAAGAAGTTGCTCCATTAAAGCTTTAGGAATTTACTCCATTGAGGTATTTACGCAATTAACTTTATTTATTTTTCAGATTTATAGTGATATATGAAATGTTTGATTATTGATTATAAAACTTTAGATTTGTTGTAGTTAGTGCATGTAAATATGTATTGTTGTTGTTGTTGAAAGATAAAATTAAAAATATTAGAAGATATATTATATTAGAAACAAAATATATATTTTTAGAATTAAAAATAGAATATATATTAGAAAAATACTTAATAGAATATATATTAGAAACAAAATATGTAATGTTTTATTTAAATATGTATTTAATTTTTAAAAATAGAATATATATTATATTAGAAAAAGTAGAATTTTTTAAAAATATTTTTAGTAAACAAAGTTGTAAATAGAAAAAATTAAAATGTATTTTTTTAAAAACATAATGAATATCTATTATATTTAAAATGTGTTATTTTTAAATGTGTTATTTTTTGAAAAAGTATTTTTATTAAAAAATAATGAATATGTATTATATTTTAAATGTGTAATTTTTATTAAACAAATTATATATTATCTTATAGAATATTATATTATAGAATACTTATTATATTTTAGTAAACATAATATATATTATTTTAGAAAAAACAGATTTATAAAAATAATGAATATATATTATATTTTAAAAGTGTTATTTTTAGTAAACAAATTATATATTATATTTTAGAATATTATATTTTAGTAAACATAATTTATATTATTTTAGAAAAAATAGATTTTTAAAAATAATGAATCCCTACTTTTTCTGAAAAAAGTGATTATTTAAAATTTAAAATTGACAATTACTACATCATAAATTTCGTAATTTTTTTATGGCTAAAGAGTGGCGTTTTTTTTTTAATTTTGAATAAATCATTTCCAAAAATATTTAGTCAAAGAGTGACGTCACATTGATTTCTAAATATATTTAATTTTAAAATTTTAAATTCATTTTTAATAAATATTATGAATTAAAAAAATTTTCAAAATATATTTATTTATTAATTTTCGGAATTTAGATCAAATTTTGGTCAAATTTATTTCTTTACCAAAAAGTGATTTATTTAAAATTTTAAATTGACAATTACTACATCATAAATTTCGTAATCTTTTTATGGCTAAAGAGTGGCGTTTTTTTAAAATTTTGAATAAATAATTTCCAAAAATATTTAGTCAAAGAGTGACGTCACATTGATTTCTAAATATATTTAATTTTAAAATTTAAAATTATTTTTAGTAAATATTATGAATTAAAAAAAAACTTTTCAAAGTATATTTATTTATTAATTTTCGGAATTTAGATCAAATTTTGGTCAAATTTATTTCTTTACCAAAATGCATTTATTAATTTTGAAATTTTAGATTCGTTTTTAGTCAATCACATTAATTTAGGCTAAAAAGTAGATAAGAGCGAAACAAAAAAGCAAACGTGTTGGTATAAATACACAATCAAGTACAAACCCTAAGGATACTCTTGTGCAAAAAATAACAAACCTCGTAAAACTTCTTCTTGTGTTCTTTCGCTCTTGCTTATTGAAATGGCTCATTGGAGAAGAAACCAAGGGATCCACAATGATCAAGTGGGTCAGCGGAGATCCTCATCTTATGGCGGAAATCATCAAGTGGGTCACCGGAGATCCTCATCTTATGGCGGAAACCCACCTTTGTGTAAGTGTCCTTTTGTTTTCTCTTGCTTTCTTTTATTTGGTTTAGTTCTTTCTTTTAATTCGGCTTAATTCTTTTGGGTCACAGATAATAGGTATTCAACAGTACCTTTATGGGAAGAGAAGTTTTATGCTACGGTAGGTCAAGTTCCATGGCGAAGGCTATTAGAATCGCATTCCAATGTGATGAAGTGGGAAGACTCTGCTGTCAAACAGGCTTTTTACGATGCAAAATTCAGATTTTGTGCTGAGATCAACGGCTATCGCTGGGACGACATTCCGTTGCTCGATCCGGACATGTATATCGATGAAGTAGATTGGGATGCACGTGTTGATCCTGAACTCTATCTGGATTTGGAGAGAGAAGAAGAGGCCAGACATATCCTGATGGAAAAGAGGCAGCAGGAGAGTGAGATTGTCGACAATCCTTTCGATCATGGATGGGAAATCAAACCTACTGGATGGGGGGACGAAGACGAAAACGTAACAAAGCCTCAGGAAGCCAGTTATGGTGCTGAAGGATGGATATTTAACAACCATGCAAATAATGAAACAAACTCGTGGGAACAGAATGATTATCACTTTGCTGATTTGCAAAATAAGTATCAAGAAAAATATGATGAATATGATAGGAGAAAGAATGCTTATAGGCATGGTAATCAGTATAAGATGAATCGAGGAAGAAGAAATAGAGGAAAAAGAGGAGGAAGGAGGGAAAACATTACATATGTGGCCAAGGCAGCTACTCCCAGATCACAATAAATTCACTCTTCTGAAGCTGCTAAAGTCTCAATTTTGTTACCTAGGAGGTGTTATAGAATTATGACACTTTAAAATATGTGTGTCTTATATTGAATATATGCAATGACTGCCATGTATAAATGATTTTGATTTACAAACTAAAATCAACCATTAAATTTCTTATTTATTCACAATTTAATATGATAAATTTTATGATCATATTAACACTGTAAATCAATGTTAGAGTTTACTTTTTTTTTAAAACCGCACAAAAAACCTAAACACAAACCATCACTGCAAATATCAATCCCTTAAAAAAAACATAACCAGTCTCCGTTTGTACCCCTAAGCCGTCCCCCACACCCTACGACACCCATTTTGTTTTACCGTACCATTGGTGTTCAATCAAACCAATCAATTATTTTGAAGCATCCATCGTGCACGTTGCACCCTTGCTTGTGTTGAGTATGCACTCGACTTCATCATAACATGCATATCATAAGTTTGCACCTTCCTACAAATACCTTCATCATAACATGCATATCATAAGTTTGCACCTTCCTACAAATACCAACCTTCAAATTGGTAGGTAACATGAAATTACTATTAAAAATAAGATATTTATTTAAATAAATTGGTGGGTAACATGAAATTACTATTAAAAATAAGATATTTAGTTAAATGATTTTATATCAGATTTCAAGATATATAATATAAAAAATATTTGTCAAAGAATTTTACATTAGATTTCATAACAATATGAAGTGAAAAATATTTGATTTAAGAATTTTACATCAGACATTTATATCCACTTATATGAAAAATAACAAGGTGACAGTTTCGTAAATAATAAAAAAATTTGTTATAAAGGATTTTACATTGAGCCTAAATTTGCACCGGATTTGAAAATTTTACTAATGAAAAAATAACAAGGTGACAGTTTCGTAAATAATGTGAAGATTTGTTATAAATGATTTCATATCGGGCCTGAGTTTGTGCTCAATGTAAAAAGTTCTTTATGAAAAAATAATACGAACAGATTTTACATCGGACCTGAATTTGTGCCTAATGTAAAAAAAATATCTGTGAAAAAAGTAATAAGAACGGATTTTACATTGGGCCTGAGTCTGTGTCAAATGTAAAAAGGTATATGTGAAAAAATAATAAAAAATAATAAGAAAGGATCTTACATCAGGCATGAGTCTGCGCCTGATGTAAAAAGGTATATGTGAAAGGATTTTACATCGGGCCACATCCCAACTGATGTAAAAACCACTTTAAAACTCTAAATCCCTAGTCGCGAAATTCATTAGAATTTCATATCTTCTTTCTGTCGCGATTCATTCCCCCCCCCCCCCCTAGCAACACTTTTCAAAAGCGCTGCTTATTCTCCCCCCTTTCCCCTCCTATAGCAGCGCTTTTTTGAGCGCTCTCTATGCCCCCTCTTTAGCAGCGCTTTTAGGTAAAAGCGCTGTCTATTCTTCACGTTTTTAATTTTTTTTTAAATAGTCACTTTTTTTTCCCGATAAACCGGCTTATAACAATTACATTCACTGCTTATAATTCAGACCTTTAATTCAACACTTTGACATTATATATACATTGTAAATTAACACTTTTGTCTTGTATATACATTGTAATTCAACACTTTGGCCATAATCATTGTAATTCAACACTTTGGCCATAATCATTGTAATTCACATAAACCTGCTTATATATAATTCAACACAAGCCGGTTCTTAGAACAACTTCACAAATACAGTCAATTTACATATAATTACTAAACCGATAACATTACAAATAGATACGAATTCCAGAAATATTATTATCCCACATCAATATTTGAAGATACATATACCTTATACACTTTTCAACTCAAGAATGTATTGACACCATTCCTCCTTAATTTCTTCCAATCCTGCTTTTGAGTAAGTACCACACTTGAATTCATCAAAGTACTACATAATATAACAGAACATGCACAATTTAGTTTTAAAACTAATTACTCAGATGAAATATCAGTTAATTATTAAAATAAATCATATAACTTATGAATCGATCCATAGCATGATTGGAATATCTATTTGACCCGAGTGAATAATTTCCTTCATCGACGATAAGTGGAAATCTCTTCAGGGAAGCTTATCCTTCATCGACGATAAGTGGAAATCTCTGCAGAGAAGCTTATCCTCCTACATCCTTTTGGTATTAGGGTTGATTTTGTTTCGCTCCGTCATCCTTTTGGTGGGGGGTCTATCATAGTCATTAATGATAGATTGTGCGATAATGTTTGGTGTGAGTTTTGCTCTATCATCCTTTTGGTGGTAGTAGCCGTGTGTGTTTTTCCCATCATCCTTTTGGTGATGACGACCTGTTGCCATTTATCCACAGTTTGCTCAGAGTTATACTTCATCCAGCATTTTAATCCCCGAGCATCTCTTTTCTTTTCGGACAAATTCAGGGTCTTATTTATATCTAATTGACTTCTACCTCGTAGGAAAGAACGCTGTAGCAGTTTATCTTACTCAGTTTAAGCCAATTAGATAGGGGCATCTGTCATACCCTAAATTTGTCCTACTTTACCATTCTCTTATATTTAACCAACATATTATTTCATGGTCATTCTCATCGGGTCTTTAGCCACGAACTTTTAGCATGCACGTCGAAGAACATTTGTATGTGTGTATTGTGACTACATGTCCTTTGAAAATATGGCGAGTTCTTATGGAGGGGTGTGCTTTCATTTTCATGATCAGACCATACGTTCGTCTAGGGCAATATTTGGATCATTTTCGAAACATAGAAGGATCGTTTTTGTTATGGAGATTAGGCCATGTGAGTTAAATTAAAGTCTTGATTAAAGGATTCATAGTTTGATGAAAGGTTGATGCCCAAGATTAAGTTTGGATTTAAGTTTTGTGATCAAATTAACAAATTTTAAGTGATTATTTGCAAAATTCAGTTGGGTTGTCCTTTAGTTATGGCGGGCTTATGCTAGGAGACGAAGTTTGAATTAAATTACAAATTGTATGTGATTTATTTTCAATTTACAAATACATGCCAACTTTTCTTTTGTGAAGTCGGGTCGTGGTCAAGGAATATTGAGACTCAAGTGGGTGTTTGTTGCCAAAGTTTGGTACAACTCAAAGTTCAAAATAATAATATTGCATACAAAGATCTATTAAAAGACATGGCACTAAATTAAAGGTCACAAGTTTACAAGGCCTAAAAAGAGGGTGAATTCATGAGCCAAGGTCCTTTACGTCGATTGTCTTAAGGCACCTATGAGAATTCCTGTTACAAGTTGTTCACCCATTCATAGCAGATATAACCCCAACTTCAAATGCACAGCAAATTCGACCATGCCAGCACCACTAAGAACCAGCCATCATCTTCAATAGGCTTACATTCTGTTTGTTTCCATTCCAATCCAACTCATGATAACCGTAACACCATATGAACCGCTTTGTTCTTATACACAAAACACTGATTGCAGGAACATACATGTTTATGGAGTGAGAGAGGAAGAAAAGTTAGGAAGAAAACCTCTTGAAAATCACCACTCCTCTCAGTCGTGACTTATCCTGTATACAACAAGCACCAACTGTAAATTCATTCTACACATACAATCATTCTCCTCTCTCAACTCAACAAACAGAACCGCCATGCTTTTCAAAACTCAACCTACGATAACCTTCAGTCAACATAATCCCACCGTAACCACCAGGTCTTCAACCGATCTGGCAACTTCTCCACTCACACACTCCCTCTGTTAATCACGAAAATAGCTTCTCAGCCCTTGATTTTTCATATTCTATGATCCATCAATCTTCAAACTTTCTTTTTCATTCCATTCTTCAAACAACTTTGCAACAACCGCAACAACCATCTTCGACACAACCTTCATGCCATTGCACGATTATGACTAAGTAATCAGCCGCTGCGAACTACTCTTATACAAATACTAAGACCACACCATCATGCTAATCTTTAACCTCTCAATCGGACCTCAACCCTGCCATAATGGAACAGCCCAATACCTGGAAATTCACAAAATACCCTTTGCAACTTGTACCAACCTACACGACAAAAACCAACAAAGAAAAATGAGAAGTGGGGGTATTTCGCACGGTACCTCAAATTTGGGCCCACAACAAGACCTCCAAGTCGTACGATTCCACAACAGGATACCAATTTCCAGCCCAACATATTCATAACATCAACCACAAACCATTCTCTCTGCTTCTACCTATAAAAGAGCATACTCAACTTCCATTGAAAAACCCTAGCCGCCACCTCTGTTTATCCTCTTAAAATCACAACAGAACATAATCTGACCTTCAACTTCAACAACAATTTCAGAAACCACCCTTCAAATCACCACATTGAATAACCCTCCACCATTTTCCAAAGCTCAACCTTTTCCTTCAAACTTCAACCTCATAAAAGACACTCACCGTTTCCACTGTCCATACTGCAATAACACACGTGACAACCTTGAATTCATAAGCCATGTTTTCTGACCCCTTTGTTCATAACAAAGCAGCTCAACGACATGCTTTACCTGCCCCAAATCTTCAAAAAAAAAACATCTTCTAACATCCATAAACACTAACCTTAAACTTGCTTTCCCTCGTAGCTTCAACTTCTTCATCCTTCTTCCACAACCATTCCTCACCAAAATCTCTGCAATAAAAAGCAAGAGGCTAGAAGCTTTCATTCTTGGATTCACAGCAACATCAACTACCATAGAGTCATTGCAACAAAATTTCTTTCACTGATACAAAATACCCCTGTTCTTAAACCAACTCATTTCCTTCCTTACAATCTAAACCTGCAGAAAATCAAACAGAAACACATATTCAAGATACCTCCATCTATGAACATCCATCAACCTCTCCAAATCCCACCTTCAAAGTCTTAACCCCAAATCCAAACGGAAAAACCCCCTCAATCTCCATCTCACCATTATCACAAATCACTGACAACAAGACTCTCCAGACCTTGCTTCAACCTTCAAC